GAAACAACCTAGCCAATATTTGGCGCCGACGTAGTGCCAAAGGCGCCTGCGCCAAATAGATGTCATATCGTGATCAGTGCACTAAAATACCCCTACAGCCAATCTTTCAGCAAAACTTTTTGACGTCTGGAGTTCCCAGGGGTAGCTAGTTGAACATACCAAAGCTATTTAGATAAAGCTTCTGTGATGAGCACAATTCAGCTTACCTCGTTATGATAATTGGTGAATATTGGACTTGACCTTGACCAGCTTCTTCCTAAAAAAAGCATGTTTCCGTGCATATTTCGATTTTTTAGCTCTGAATACTCACCATCATGGCTCGTACTCGTTCATTTTCCCTCGCTCTCTCCATACGTCGTCGCAATTCGTAGACATCAGCTGGTGGCTCCGCTATTGGCGGCGGGGCTGCGCTCGAGCTTCTTTCGTTTTTCGATGGAGTACTGTCTGGGCCTGACGATGGGCGCCGTTTACTGAAACCATTATTCTTCCATTCTTCTTCTTCTGGCTTTATTCTCGGCTGTTTTCCAGAAAAATGTCCCGACGGAAAAATGCATGCGACAGGAAGGTATTGGGGAAATATTCAAGCTGTAGGCGCTATCGCAAGATACGGGGGCATTATTGTGGCAACGCGTTCAAAACCACGTGGAACATTTTTTTGTTAAAACGAGACTAAGCATGGGGGGGGGGGAGAATCCAGGGTGCGTGAGCGATTCTCCCATTCTCCTGCACCCTTATGCTTAGTTCTAGAGGATGTCCCCGATCTTATGATAACGCCAAGGTGCAAAGGTTTCTCGTACCTACTACTAGTTCCAGTTGGTGCCCATATGTTCGTTTCCGTAGAAGTCACTTTCGTTCTGCGGCCGGTTCCAGATGAGGAGTACTTCTGAAATAGTAGGCGGCACTTATAACACTTAGCGCTTAACAATTACGCCATAAGTCTGCCAATTTCAGCACAGGAAGTGCCCGGTGGTCGTTATAGGCGTGAACACATGCAGGAAAGGGACACCAGACGGCTGCTGGGGAAAGGATAAAGGATAAAGCATTTGCCGTTGATCAATCCCTTTTTGGGATGCGGCACGCATTCTACTTCCATTTGTACATTCGTAGTGGCGTTTGAATGCGATGTGGCCTATACAATGACTTGCGGGGGCCAGCCGATGTACAAGTCAGTGTTTTTATCCTCCCAGACAAGTCTGGTACCAATTAACCGACCCCGGAGGGATGGAAGGCTTGGTTGGCCCGGGCGACTCACGACCCAGGATTTGATCCCGGACCGCTCGCGTGGTAAGCGTGCCACTTGCCACTACACCAACAGAGCCCTTGCCGGGGGAAAACACTGTAAATAGAATTCATTACACAATACCATTCTGAACTGGGTAACTTAGCCCATAAAAAAGAAAGCATTTGCTTCGGCTTCTCAAAGCCCAAACAGGGTACTTCCAAAAGAGCCTGGTACTGATGGAGTGACCCACAGGAATGAAGCGTTGAGAGGGGTAGGCGGTGGCTAGAGGGAATTAGGCGATCACATCCGGGGCTCTTGTTTTCCATTACAAACCGTACTTGTATTCTTTAAACTTAATTCTGTAAAACTGACTCGATGAATCATAAATTTTAAAGGCATGCCCCAGGATCACATTGGTGTGGCTCTTGTACACGAATGCGAATGTATTGGTGGGAAGTGGGCCGGCAGTAAAGAAAAAAGGAAAAGAATCCGTCAAAAACGCTTAGGTTAAGGGCTCACTCACCGAAAAGAAAAAGTCGCTGCAGCTTGGGCAGCTTACTTTGCAAGGCCCAAGCGCTCTTATCGGTTGGTTTCCGTGCACGAAGAACGCCACATTTGTGATTGTCCTCTAGGGGTCTATACTACAGACCGAAGAGAAGCGTTCACACGACCTCTGCCTGGGTTGTGCCTTTAAGTTATCAGGTTTTTCAATGCAAATATATTACAGCTTAGTTTCAAAAAGAATCTATCCAGATATCTGCTGTTCCTGTCCTGAAATCTGTACAAGCAAGAAAATGATTGCGTTTTTTGTAACTTTTCTGAATAAATGAGTTCAAAATCAGAATGGCGAATAGTTTAGTGAGTTTACAACATCCTGCAATCAACTCGCCTCATGGTTTTCAAGGCCAAATCTCATTGCAAATTCCGATGTGCGAGGAAAACGGGGCATAGACCCCTGTCAAGCCTTTCCACAATTTGATCTACCAACCGGCTCAACCTTCGAGACCATACGCCTTTCATCAGTCCAGTACGGGAAGAATGATTGTGACGTCGGTTTTGAAGCGGTTGGAGCCTCACCTGAAAGATTAAACTTTTAGGTAGCGAAGTCTATTCGGGCCATTCTGAAGCATTCTTTACAGACAATTTATCAAACACAATAGAACCAGGTTGTACCCGCGATAATCATCAATTCTAACATAAGTGTGAGAATAAAAAGCTATAGGAGCACATCCTAAGAATGTTGTTAGAGTGGACTGCATTTGAAACAATCGCTCGCACATTTGGCAGCAAGATGTGCAGCAATAAACAAATGCGCGACGCTAAGATATGTAATTTTTCAAACATCTTCGCCATTTTGTGCTGCGCTGAGTCTGCAATTGCAGCTGTCCAGCTGCGGAAAACAATGAAGGTGAGCTGTGATAAGCCTATCCGTCTGCGATTGCACCGGACCAACTCATAGCTGCCTACGAGTGAGCTGGAGAGAACGTCGTCGCTTACTGTGAGCTTTGAAGCAAAGGAAACTTACTTTCTTGAGGGACACTCGAAGATTCATCTGGAAGACTCGAAGGAGTTTGTTTTCCTGTCGGTGAGCCACTAGCAGTAGCTCTGGACGAACGAATATTCGTTCTACTAGGTCTCCTAGAATATCACATTTTTTAGTTGACCCGGAACTCACCATGTAGCTTAACAAGTGAATGATCATGATAATATGAATTATGATAATGATGAGATGAGGTCAATATAGGTAGTAGGTGAGACGTTCGTTTCGCGACGTAACGTTCGAAAGGGTGGAGCTTTAGGCGGTGATCAATCTTTTTAGAATGCGCCGCGCATTCTACTTCCGTTCAGAAGCGTAGTGGCATTCTGAATGCGACATGGCCTGTACTATTACTTTCAGGGGACAACCGATGCTCAAGTGAATGTCTTTATCCTCAAAAACGAGTCTGGCACAAAGTAGTCACCCCGGAAGGATGGATGGCATGGTTAGCCTAAACAGCGAATGACCCCGCATTTGATCCTCGAACCGTGGGCGTGGTAACAGCGCACTCGCCACTAGACCACTTCTGCCCAATAGGTGAACAGCACATATAGTAACAGTTTGATTAGAAACTGCTACGCATCCATATTATCTGAGATCTTTAGTCCCGGGATAATATGAATCTCATTGTGATACATCAAATAACGGAGATTAGGATACCTCTGGAAACCCGACAGGAGGCCCGTCGCGCGGCGAGAAGGCAGAGACGCAGACGGGTCAGCGGACGAGTCGCAGCGCGTACTGTAGCGATTTAGCGTCAAGTTAAATAGAATGTACTATAGTACGTCCACATCGCACAGCACGCGCTGCGACTCGTCCGCTGACCCCTCTGCGTCTCTGCCTTCTGGCCGCGCGACGGGCCTCCTAGAAGTATTTTTTAATCCTACTATATATAATTCGCTAAGCGGTTGTGTGTGTCTGAGCGGAAATTTATAACTTCACTCCCTTTGGTCCCAGCCCTCAAACTTTCAGGATACAAAGGGAAGTGGGCGCGATTATTCGGTTGGTGATTGCAAGGCATAACCACTGATTAGAGCTGATAAAGGGCGTCGGAACGTAAGTGCCATTAACTGCGCTAAGCTTCCCGCGTTGACAGCAGAATTTTTGGAACGACATATGTTGTATGGAGTGGGACGGAAACACGAATTATAGGCGTTAGCAAGTGATAGCTAGCATAACAAAATTGGGATATCCCCTGAACTGATCTAGTAGGCTTACCTCAACACGACGGGTCTAATAGGGACTTTTTCAGGCATTGAAGGTTCCTCACTCGGATTCGCAGGAACACTCTAGAATTCGGCAAAACATTTTCTAGCTGTAATAGAAATTCGTTTTGATTCTTGAAAAATGCTATGGCAAAAACATTTCCACACATAGTTATTGATTACTCCCTGATTACTGCTTCCGATTTACTCAGGTAAATGATCACCAGCAACCTGGGAAAAGTCAGACACTGCACTGATTAGTCTAAAACCCTGTTTGGCAACTTATCAAATGTTCCGAATCACTTCGCTTCAATCGAATTCACCTTCAAACGAACCCTACAATGAACGAATGGGCGGATTTCTTTACAGGGGGCATTCAAAACAGGGCCGATGGTAGGCGGCCCTAGGACTAAGCTCAAGAGAGGGGCGAAGTTTCAGGGAGAACACAAATTGCTCGCATCCTCCTCTAGATTCCCTTCCCCTCCCTTCCTCTCCCCTTCATATGGCCTAGCCCGACAGAAATTGGCTCACCTACTTTATTAAGATCCCCCTCCCCCAGCAAGATGAGCGCCAAACGATTCAAGTCGTACATGGAGCCCTTTTTAAAGGACGAATTCACGATGAAAAAGCAACCC